GACAAGGCAGAAACAGTATGCCCCATAAAAAGGAAACACTATTTGCTGTACCCCCAGAGGACGCCCTTTCAAATGATGACATCATAATGCTGTTTTTGTGTCCTTTATTCTGTTCTAAACACTTCCATAATTTATTTGCTAATAGTAAAGAGCTTCTGCTTTCAAGTTATATTAAATTTTTATTGCCCTGTAACACCGGAAGTGAAGGTCAAGCAATATTGTGCCCGGGAATAAGAATTGTTGTCCGAGGCATCATTTACAACCTCACGCAAAAACGAACACGATACTCTATTTAGTTCTAAAGATAAAGCGGAAACTATTTCCACAAATTTGGCCCTTAAATTGCTTGTAATTTGATACCTCATGACATCATGATGACGTCAGATTTTTTTGTTACAACGGAGGGGGCTCAAGTTCATACCAGGTTTTATCATAATCCCGTAAATCGTTTGGAAGAAATTTGGATCGTTTTGATTTTGAGGCTTCTGTTTGTATTTTAATTTCCGGTTGACCCGGAAGTAAAGCCCCCCCCCCCCCCCCCCCCGGACAAGCAAGAACAACAACAACAAAAGAAGAGAAAAACCGGTAAAAAAAGGAAGAAAAAGAGGTGCAGAATTATATTGTTGTTAATTTATTGGGTTGGGGGGGGGGCCATTGTCCCTGCCTACCCTCGAAAAAATGATCAATCAGGAAAATGCTGGAAAATATAGGGATTTTTTTGGGAAATTGTGCTTTGCCCCCTCTAGAAAAAATCCTGGCGACGCCCATGGCACCCATGTTCTACATCGAGAATAGTGTGGTAGGAGGGAGGGATGCTCTACAGGTAACTAGCCATTGGGTGATCGTGTCGCGACAAGCCGGTAAATATGGCGGGTTGTCGTGACAAATAGCTGTGAATGACAGATTCGAAGTGACTTTGGATGGTTAATGTACCACTTCAGAGCCGTGACCAGGCACCAAAATTTGTCATCCTGAACGGATATGGCCGGTCTCTATTGTAAGGGAATGCAGTTTGTTACGTTGTCTAGACATAGCCACTGCTAGTTGAACTGTCCATTGGTTCAAATGTAGATCTCGATAACGTGGATAACACGTTGAAGAGATCCCATGTAGGCATGAGCGCACATGTTGCGAGGGGGGGGGGGGATGACAAACATCCCCTGACTAGCTAGCTGAGAGCTTGACTCTTTGACATCGAAGTTCTGTCCGGGAAACCTCCATGAATAGCCACTATTGCCGAACGATAATTGTAATTACGGCCGTAGTGAGGTTACTTTCTAATAAGTTTACCAGGAAATCTGCAACCTCCCCTACAGAAGTATCAAGTGGATGCAGAGATCGGCTCCTACACCACTTGTAATAATGGCGTAGTCTCCTGTCATAATTTTTTGGGTCGATGTTCTTCTACTGCAGGCTGCAATAGCTACAGATCCTTGAGAAAATCCTGCCTTGCTGAGGGATTGCGTGAAAGCACCCTGCACGTCAGGTGAAGTTCCCGCAGAGCCGGGTGAAGTTTCTGCAGAGCCGGGTGAAGAAAACCTGGGAAAAGCTGGGTTGGAACAGAATGTCCAGTCTCCACGGAAGAACCACCACTGGCCAGTGAACACAGAGTCTGGTTAGCCTTGGGAACCATGGTTGGTGCGGCCAGAAGGGAGCTATGAGGAGGACCTTGCAGTCTTTCCTCTCCAGTTTGGTCAGTTACCGAGGGATGAGGGAGAACAGGGGGAAGGTGTAGGGAATCAGCCCGTCCCACGGTATCGTCAGTGCATCCGTCTGCCATGCGCCATGCGCCAGGGTCATGGACCCTTGCACAGGACACCGGTATTAATTGGTGATTGATCCGAGAAGCAAACAGATCAACATGTGGTCAGTTGATCAGCAGGAAGAGTGATTGAGCGACCTATGGGTGCAGCGTCCACTCTGTCGGGAGGTGGACTGCTGAAAGTGTGACATTATTACACAAACACCAATTGTGGAGTTCCCATGTAACTGCACACAGTTGAGCAGACCGTGTGCCCCCTTGGTGGCTGATGTAAGCACTGCCATGGCATTGTCACATCAAACCAGGAGCGGCTGGCCTATCACTGATACCTGAAAATGTTGGAGAGCGTTGGAGACTGTTAACATCTCGACTTTGTTTACGTGTTTGTTTAGCGGTGTTCGGAGCCCCACCAACCTGCCACTTGGCATGAGTGGAGGGTGGCCCCCCAGCCAGAAAGTGATGCATCTGTCGTGACAGTCAGCGATGGCCGGGGTCTGCAAATAGTATGCCCCCCTCCCTTGAGGTTGGCAAGTCCAGCCACCACCGGAGGTGGGGTATCAGCCAGGGCTCAGCAAGGGATGACTTTATTTGGCGATGACAGGGTCGGTAGTGAGAGAATAGGTGCAGCTGGATGGGGCACATCCTTAACCTGCAAAAACCTATGATGTCCACCAGGCCACACGCCAGATGGGCATCATTGGCGGCCTTTCTGAGGTGGCAAGCCACACTCAGCAACCCTCGGTCTTTGGTCACAGTTGGGTGGCTCAAGGAGGAAGGGACACACCGCACACATTTAGCTGTGCTCCAGTGTCCCTGCCTGCATTGCACGCTCCGCAGCCGTCAGTCATTGGTCATGGTTGGATGGCACAAGGACAAAGGCTAGCCGTGCTCCGGTGTCCCCGCCAAGGCTGAGCTTACACCCGTTTGTCCGAGGGAGTTGCTCAGCCACCGTCCCTTGGTTCTGTGCAGCTTGCCCCTCCAGACGGCTCTCATTCACTAGTCAACTTGGCCCTCACATTCAGGTGGCTCATCCGATGATGACGAGGGGGCAGACCAGTTGCAGCAGTTGTCCATTGCAGAAACAGAACTTTTTTTGATACAAAGGGACATGATTCGGGTACTATAACTACCCTCCACTGATGAGCACAGGATGGGTTCAACAACGAACAACGACAAGGTGTTCCCAATACTTCCTTGTGTGCATGGAACGAATTCGCAACATTATGTCCGCTGACAAATGGCAGCCATTGTCCAGGCGAGAACAAGATTATTATCGTTTCGCCCTGGTGGATTTTGATTATTTATTCACCACGCCTCCCGTTCACAGATTGGATTCGCGGCAAGCTTGAAGACACTCTAAGGAAAGTGGACTGTCTCCCGAGAACTTGTTCCATCCCGGGGAAGAACAATTCCCCCCCCCCCCCCCCAAGTTGTGACAGGGCCGGTTCTCTGCAGACGCTTCATTTTCATGGAATAATCTCACTAACACCAGGGTTGGAAATTAGCGGTAGCCCACTAGCCAAATGCTAGTCAAAACAGTGGCGGGCTAGTCAAACTATTCCTTATGAAGCCCGGCTGGTGAGTTAAAAAAATATTGGGATACAGCAAAGATGAAAGGACAGGAAGAAATAAATCAATAAATTCAGAAAGCAAACCTGTATCAATTTGCATCTAATTTTATCAACTGTTTTAAAGGGTTACATTTTTAGATCTGTTTATTAAAAACACTGACAAAAATGCCTCAGAATAGATGAGAAATCAGTTGGAAATGTGTAAGAACGAATTTTACTTATTTTTATTTGAACCTATTTTCATTCCAAGGTCGTCTTGTTGAATCATGTCTGTTTTCACATCGCGTACTTGCGTGAGAACGTGAAAACGATGGAAGATTTACCTGCGTACATCCGATGGATTCTAGATTTATTCAGGATTGTTTGGATCACGTTTTCATACAGTACTTATTAACGGTCATTTTAGATTGGTTTGTAAATGAAAATAAATCCTTCAAAATTATTCAAAAAAATTGTCTGTCCCAAAAGACATTTTCACATAATGCGATTTTTCAGTTTCCATAAAATTCTGAGGGTGATTTTCTGAAGAAATCAATGTACCCAAACTAATTTGAAAAACTCTGACTCTTACACTTTAATTTTCCTTTTCGAGGGGCACTAAAGTGAGCCACCAGGGGTCAACTTTCAGGCTCTATACATCTTTTACATGTATGCACATTGTTGTGTAATATGAGACACTCTATAAAAGAAAAAGACATGCGGTCTAGTGAAAATGTCCGCGGGCTAGTTAAGAGTCTGTTTCTGTAGCACGGCTGGCTAGTGAAAAAAAAAACATTAAGGTCGAACCCTAATAACACACTACACTATAACTCAACTACACAAACTCTAAACCAAAAACTTCTCTTTTATAGCGATAATGGGCAGTCGAAAAACAAGAAATAATACGAGCGTATCATAAACACGTCCTACCCGACCTGCCACTAAGAGAAAAGAAGAAGAGCGCGGGGCACTATGGATAGGACACCAGAGGGCACTATTTTGTAAACTCTGAGCGTAAATACCTGCTGGTCTCAGGAAATATGCATAAGTAGATTGCTCTACAGGTAAGTTGAGTAACAAAGACATGGACATTTATTACATCTTCAGAACTACAAGCATCACAACAACTGTGTTATCAAATTAAAGGGGACAACAAGATCTGTCATTTGGTTGGAATGCCAGTGGGATGGAATGTAGTCAAGTGTGTTTTGGGTAAAAAAAAGAACATGTTTTTGTCTAAAATCATAGTCATTTTTGGCACTTCAGAGAGAAAGCTTCAAATTCTATGCCAAAAGATTTTTTTTTGATTGATTGCTCATATCTTAATTGTTTAAACTTGTACCAAAGATGGGCGGACAAACTGTAACATAAGTTACCGCAATGAAAGTTACCACCATTTTAGGATGTGTGGCCAAAATGGGAAATGAAATTACCTTTATTACCCTACCAATACATAGATCAGTTACCAGCATATATATTACTTTAATCAATGCACGTCCAGTATGAGGAGACTTTTGAAACAAGACCTACACACAATTATGCATGTCCTTTTTATGTAATGAAAGTTACCCAAGTTTAATCTGTTGCCATGTTCAAATTTAAAAAAAAGCCCGACTGTTGAAACGAATGTGTTTAATTGAGAGACTCTTTTGTGTTTCTCGAAGAGCCTAAAAATCTAATGAAATTACCGTGGAATTGTCCTTTTTCATACTCACAATCCTCTCCATCTTCTTGTTCTTGAGGAAGGCCAAAAGTGGAGTCATTTCTTGAGCTAAAAGCAAATAAAAAAGCAACAGTTGGGTGCCCAAATCATGGTTTACCTGCAGGTACAAAAATGACATCCATTTGGAGACATTTCCAAATGGTATTTATTTTGCTTTATGAGGCATCGTCTTGCCACTATGCGGGGGAGGTAGCTTTGCAGCCTGTCGCCCACTTTGCAGGCAAGTCGCCTGTGACTCAAACGCTACGTGGGCAAGTCACCCTATACTTTCCCTCCTACAAAACTGATATGAGGACTCAACATATCTTTGTAAACAAAGCCATCAATCATGACCAAATGCCTGTTCCACACCAAGTTCAAATAGAAGTGACTTTAACTGGGTCACTGTATAAAAGTAAATTATGAACTTCAGAAGAGGCCTCCACCAAGCAAACACTTAGTGGTGCACTGTCTGTTGAATTTCTTAACTGGCATGGCAGCCTGGACTGCATACCTTCTTTTTCATGAAGTTTAGCCTCCAGTTCCTCTAGGTAGGTCTCTGCACTTGGCAAACGCTCCACCTCGGCTTGCAAGGACTCTGTAAAGGCCTGGAAATCATCATCTGAGACATACAAAACAATTAGAATATTTTAAAATTCTAGGGGACATTAGCTAAAATGTTAGGGTATCTCTGAAAGAGCATGGAATAATATGGAATCACCTTTTAGCTCTGCAAGTTTGTTTTTCCATGCCAAATTATTTTGTGTGTGTGCAGCCAAGTAGGAAACAGGATATTTATTTGTCTAGGTCAAACAATCACTGTCTGATAATCCCAAAACTATGGCATTTGGTTGTCCATGAGGGGACTGTTAGGACCAACAGATCTTTGTCATGCTGCCACCATTTCAGTCATGTTCCCTGTACCCAATAACAGTACTGTACCCAATAACAATACTGAATGATAATGTGTTTTGTGCAAAAAGGAACAAGACTATCTTTCCTTCCAGAGTCGCTTTGGTTACATTGATTTGAATGGGAAAAAAATCACGATGGCCCAACATGATAATGGTCTTTAATTGCATATTTTCTTAGCTATGTTAATAACCGTTGAAGTCAAGATTTGCAATATAGGATGCAACAGTTCCCTCCTGCGTCAGCACCAGCGCCGTCGCCAGCCCAGAGCATCAGGAGGGGCCATAGTATCAACTAGGGGGCCTACTACTATACAAATATACATGTACATGTACTGTAACAAATGTTAATGGTCACATGGTACAGCGCCCTCTGTATGTGACCTCAAGTTAGTACACACACACACTGGAGTATAGAAAGGTCACACACCCACACACATAAGATTGCTAAGACAAAGGAATGAGACTTGAGAGCATGGCTACCCTCCGAGCAGCTTATCAAAAAAATTACACCATGGAACCACGTGGAGAATTTTATCACCACATGTGTTTATAGGTCAATAACCCTGGCATGCCTGTACATGCACAAGATATAGGTCATTCACATGGCCAGGGATTGTTTACAACCTGTCTGGGCTCTGGCGGCACGAGGGGTTGACACAAAGGGATCGGCGGCAATTAGGGGTTGGCCACTAAGATCTCCCATTACTGCACAAAAGCATTTGGCGCCATCTTGGCTTCTGTCTTTCAACACTCCTTACTCCGGAGTGGGTAGGGTCTGGCCAATGGGAGTCTACAGGCTTGTGGTGTATAGTTGGGGTGAGGATTACATGGAAGCTTGGCCTTATTGGCAAAGAAATATGCCCATATTTGGAAAATGTGGAGAATGAAATCACCACTTTGCTGCTCGGAGGGTTAAGAATAAGAGTTAGACAACACAACATTGTTAGAGCTTACAATAAGTCTTGTGTGAATCATTATCCTGACACAAAGATTAAAACATGTACGGCTTTTGCAGTTGGGAGGGGGGGGCCAATGGCTCGCCAAGGGGGGCCCGGCCCCCCCCCCCCCCCCCTTTGGCGACGGGCCCTGTCAGCGCCCCTACAATAGTCAGAGCATGCACCATAATCGAGGAGCCCATTGTGGGAAAAGGTGAGCAGGGTGGTCCAGCAGGTACTGGACAACCAAACACCATAATTTGGGAGAGGGGTTGTCCAATTTGTTCCCTACCCGTTAGACCTATATTGTATAGACTGGCACCGAGATTGGTGGTGGTAGTGGGCTGCAATCTCTTGGGTAACATAACAAGGAAGTAATTGCTGTTTTTGAACATGCTGCCTGCATTATATCTTCCACTGGAACACCCCGCAACAGTGCCCATGACATTCAATGTTACCGCTATCGTGTAGTGACCAGGAAGGGACTTGTTCAGAGCACTGTCTGGTATTTAGATTGGATAGCTTTAACTATCCATGAAAAAATTGTGTCACAGGATGCTGGGCAGCAAAGTTATAAAGAGTTGAGACTCCACTTTTTTGGACAAATCCAACCAGGGTACCGACACTAGAGATTCACAGGGGGATTTCCCAGAGTACATAGGACCTCTCCTAAATCCCAAGCTGGGACAAGTTTAGGCTGAGAAGGACGCTTAGTAAACATACCCTTGAACAAACAATTTAGTGCAGGGTTCAATACAGAGGAGCCATCCTAAAAAGTGTCAAGCACAACCATGATGGCTTACTTATAATTTCTCATTTTTGTCACGACTAGCCCTGTGTTAAACACATTTCTAAAATTTTAGATGCCCTGTGATGCAATCTGAGGAATTTTTCTGGCCAATTCCCCGACTTTTTGAATAAAATGTACTCATGTTTAGGGAGATGGGAGGTTGGTCATCATCAAAGTTGATATATTACATCACAAACATAACATCAAAACTGTAGCTTAACTCTCTTTCGAGATTTGCCCGCTTTAGCTTGAGCCACGATTTTGAGTCATCACTAAGAATCAGCTCAATTCGTAGCTACCTGCGAGTGACAGGCATGCAACTGGGAAATCACAAAAAAAAGAGGAAATTCAAATTTTGCCCAGACTTTGTACAGTGTTTTTCTATTTTCAATGGGAAGTAAAAAAAGAGGAAATCAGCTGATCCGAGGAAAAGTTGCATGCCTGGAGTGAGCACGTGCTTGTGTTTTGCACAGCTGTAGCTGTCAACTGCCGTATATGAAGCGACCTCGTGCGGCAGATCGTGCCAACATGACAGAATGTACAGTATTTTGCCATGGGTTGCAGAACCGGATTTTAGCTTCGCGGGGTTTCGATCAGCGGTGATTAGTCAGGCATACATTTTCCATTTTTTCTTCTTCCCTCTACCTTTCCCCTTCCTTCACTGTGTTTCAAGCAATTCACGTAGTGTATGCTAAGCAAGTTAATACAAAACTTACCATGACTCCGATTCCATGAATACCCGTAATGCATACGAACTGGCCCGGTACCAAGCTGATAACAAAACTTGCCATATCTGTGTTTCCCGCAATGCACGTAGTGTATGCTAACCAAGTTTATACAAAACTTGCCATATTTTCCTCGAATACACGTAATGCATGCGAACTGGCCTCCTTCAGTACCAGCCGATTAACAAAACCTGCCATATCTATGTTTCTTCATTGCACATAGTGTTAGACAATCAGCTGAAGAAATGACCCCTCCTGACCATTAGGTGACCACTGGCAAAATTCTGTGAACACTTTTGTGAGGCTTAATTGGTCCAAAGATATAACTGACCACGTTTTACATTAATTGGGTCAAGACTGTGGGAGAAGCAGCATTTTGTAAATATTCATTTAATGACCACTACTGACCATTGGATGACCATTAGCCAGATTTTACGAACATGGCTAGGTAGGGCATGGGTCAAGGTTTAATTTGACCAAGTTTGTTTGAAATCGGCTGAATAGTTGAGGAGTTATGGCCATTTTTTCATTGGCCACATGACCGTTTGCCCGAAGAAAGAAATCTGACGATCACAGTATATCAGCGTGCTTCGCAGGGCTGATATAATTTTGTAAGCAGAATAAAATTGTAAATATTAAAAAATCGTAAACAATCTACCGATGACGTCATCGTGACGTCATTTCAGATTTTGTGTACTAGTACTATTATCTACCCACCCACCAAGTTTCATGACAATTGGACATTCCCTTATATGTGTTTTAAAAAAATCGCATTTTTGATGACGTCATGATGACATCACACATTTTCACAATTTTGTGAATGTACCTGTTACCTAATAAACATAATACAAAAAGAATTTTGAATTTAGCATATTGCGTTCGTGAGATAAGGCTTAAAGGTCCAAAACCTCAAAAATCTATATTAAATCACACGATGACGTCATGATGACGTCAACTCAATTTTTACCTATAACACATCCCGGTCAACCTACATACCGAGTTTCAACCCAATCGAACTTACAATTCTTTAGATATAGGGTCTTAAAGTTTGCATGTTTAAGATGACGTCACGTGACCCATAATGACGTAATCGTGACGTCACTCTTCGGGACACAAGCTCACTATGGGGTAGTTATACATTGTAAATTTCATCAGAATACAAATTTGATTTAGGTCAAAAGTTGCGTGGTTAATAAACCGTGCACAAAGTCTATGGAATTTGGTTTAGAACAAAAAGAAAAGGGAAGAAAAACTAGAGGTCTATGCCTGTTCGATGAACAGGACATATGCTTTTCTGCATTTTCTTTTTTTAAATATTCATATTCAAGAAATATATTTGAAAATGCATTAAAGCATTATAGAAGAAAATGTTAAAACATTATAAATTGATAAACAAAACTTTGATGACCTCATCATGAATTTATTTCAGATTTTGCATACTATTAACAGTATCTACCTACACACCAGGTTTCAAGTCAATCGGACTAATCCTTGTATGTGTTTTGAAAAATCACATTTTTGATGATGTCATCGTGACGTCACACATTTTTCAGAAAAAAATTGTGCAGATACCTAATTAATAACAAACTTAATACAAAAAGAATTTTGAATTTAGCATGTTTGAAGCCAATCAGACGAATAAAAGTGTTGAATTTTGTAAGCAGAATAAAATTGTAAATATTTCAAAAAATGTAGAAAATCTACTGATGTCATCGTGACGTCATTTGAGATTTTTTGTACTAGTTCTATTATCTACCCACCCACCAAGTTTTACGACGATTGGACATTCCCTTATATGTGTTTTAAAAAAAAACATTTTTGATGATGTCATAATGACATCACATTATTTTCACAATTTTGTGAGTATGACTGTTACCTAACAAACATAATACAAAAAGAATTTTGAATTTAGCATATTGCATTCGTTAGATATGGCTCAAAGGTCCAAAACTTCAAAAATCGATGTAAAATCACTCGATGACGTCATGATGACATCATTTCAATTTTCGTCTATAACACATCCTGGTCTACCTACACACTGAGTTTCAACTCATTCGAACTTACATTTCTCTAGATATAGGGTGTTAAAGTTTGCATATTGAAGATGATGTCACGTGACCCATGATGACGTCATCGTGACGTCACTCTTCGGTACACAATGGCACTATGGGGTCTTTACATGGGACAAGTTTCATTAGAATACGAGTTAGTTTTAGGTCCAAAATGCCACGGGGAACAAAACGTGTGCAAAGTCTTTGGGATTTAGGATAGAACAAAAAGAAAAAAAAAGAAATAGGAAAAAAAAATCGGAACAAAAACAATGCTTTTCCGCTTTGAAGCGAAAAAGCAAAAATCCTGTTTTTCTGTCTTCACAAAACACCTCTCAACAACCATTTTGCGTCCTGTTGTTACATGTTTTACCAAGTTTGCTTTGTGATAACTAGTTCGCAATTCGATGTCACTGTGATGATATCAAAACACGTCCCCAAGCTCAATGCAGCGATGACTGGTTCCTGCTGTGCCGCACAAGTGCCAAAGAAGACATGATGGAAATGTGGTAACCAGTCTATGCATGAATGGCCAGGGCGGTGCACTGGTTGCAGGTACGGTCAGATTAGACATCACAAAAATGCCAAGATGTAATCGGAAGCAGAAGTATTTTTGTTTTGTTTTTGGCCTAATTAATTTCGCTCACAACTTTCTGAACTTAAGCGCGCTATTAAAACAAAAATTTAAAACTGTAAAAACATCTGCAAATGCAATTATTTTATATGTTACAGGACGTTATATTCCTTTAAAAAAAAATTTGGAAAAGAAACTGAACTTTGGAAAAAGTACGTAGATACCAATTTTAACATAACTTGACCATTTGTGTGGTATCAGGAAAATCTAAGCACAATTCTAGGCTACTAAAACAGAAAGATTGTTTTTACAGGGCTGCATATCACAATTCTTTTTAGTTACCATTCTCTATGGTACCACAGCGAGGGTCTACCTTCCGGCATTGTTTCTTAGGAATTTTCTGGTAGGGAGCAAACTCCACCACTGCAGGATATTCAGTACCTGGAAAAGAACATAAAGCATTACATTAGCTTAACAACAGAAAACATTTTGGATAACTGATAATGTTTGTTTACATACAGGCCGTCCCCACCCGCCAACGTGGCCAAGCGCGCTGTGCAGCCGAACGATAAATGGCGCTATCGACGACACAAACCAAATCCAGTCTTGGCGATTCGGGCAGGCCTCCCCAGAAAATTCCTCGCATGCCTCAAGCGCGGCATTAGCATGAATAATAAAGCATGCGCATAGAAGCAAAACCGAATGGTCGTTGGACAAGTTATTTGTGCCGGTAAATTTCACTACATTTCGCGTATGGAGCCGGCCAGTCTGGCGCTGAGTCTGACTGCCGGGCCTTGCCGCAGAGTGTGGGCGATAATGAACTCAGGCCGTTGATGGGGTCGGGGACAGGCCAGCATTTTTGCTGCGAACACGGCGACTACGGCAAGCTCACAAAATGGTTGACAGTGTTGAATTTGTAATATTGAGCGGGCCGCAGTGCATAAGTATTAATCCTTTAGGTGTGCCAAACCCCAGCGTACAACCAACTCGGACCGAATCAAGTACATTGTAGATATTTTAATTTAACCATCAAATTCACATCGGAGTTCTCGGCTCACCAAACCCACTTTCTGGATGTCACCGTCCGCAAGCAAGGCAACTCACTAACCACTGACCTGTATTCCAAACCCACAGACACCCACCAGTACCTCCACTCCTCCAGCTGTCACCCCAGGCACTGCAAAACTGGCATAGCGTTTAGCCAGGCACTCAGACTCAGAAGAATTTGTTCTAATGATTCCGATTTCTCCCGCCATACACAGATACTGAGGAACAACTTGGTGGCCAGGGGTCACAGCTCTCGCCAAGTTCATCGTGCCATTGCCAGAGCTAAAGCTATCCCCAGAAATCTAGCTCTCACGGGAAAGGCCCCTGATGCCATGGCCAAACCCATGATTCCCTTGGTTACCACGTTTCACCCCAATCTCCCTCCCCTTCGCAAAATCACTAATGACAATCACCATATCCTCCATACTTCAGATCGCCTTGCCCGCGCCATCCCCAACGGCCCCACATTGGCTTACAGGCGTCCTCGAAATCTACGGGACTTGATTGTTCGAGCTGAAGTCCCTTCCTTAGATGCATCCCCTCCCACCCAGCATGGTACTTTCAAGTGCAGTTCCAGATGTGTTGTCTGCCAGATTCATATCCAGGAGTCTGACTCCTTTTCTGGCCACTCTTCTGTCACTACCCATAGAACCATTGGTAACATCACTTGTAACACCTCTAATGTCATATATCTCATTTCTTGCAGGGTCTGTGGAGTGCAGTATGTAGGTGAGACTAAGAATACGCTCAAGAAGCGTTTCTATGCCCACCGGTCAACGGTCAACACCAAGAAACTAGACACCCCTGTTGGTCATCACTTCAACCTGCCTAACCACTCCATTTCTGATATGATTTTGCAGGGCATTGAATCTCTTGGCCATCGCAAGGACTCAGTTCGCCTCAGCAGAGAGAAAGTGTGGATGAATCGTCTTCGAACTATTCAACCACATGGTCTCAACATCCAACTTGGAAATGATTAATCCTTTTCTTCCTCCATTGTCTTCTGTTACAGATAATCCATCTGGTCTTCCTTGTTTGTGTTTACCCATCTTCCCCATCTTTCATCCCTTTCCACCTCAATACTGTCCCCCCCCCCCCCACATCATCCCTTCACTCTCACACTCTTTTGTCCGTTCCCACTCCCTGTGACCTTTGATCCTTCCCCTTTCTGGTCCCTCCCCTGTTTACACAAGACCCCTTGTGGTTTGCCATCTCCCTTTGTTTCTTTGTTCTCTCATCCACCCTCCCCTGCATCTTTCCACACCTTTCACACCTAATCCTCCTTTTTTGTTTCTTCTTTCAGCCCTGCATGTTTGTGTGCACCCCCATGTTAATGTATGTACCTCTGTCATTTCTGTTTTAGCCTCTGAAGAAGAACTTGCTAAGTTCGCAACGTCAGGCCACATTAATTTTAAGATTTATATATTTCAGGTCCATCCAGTCAGTAAGCAGTTTGCAGCAGTTTTACTTTTTTTCATATTTTAATTGCTTGCAAATTGCTGAAACATCGACGTGATAAGATTGAGAAAAAAGCTTTTGGCTGATGTTTCAGTAGTTTGGCCTATTTATTCTTTGAATGGGAATTAATTTTACAAATGGTTTATCCATAAATTTCCACTAGCTTCCCAATATGCCGACTCCTTCTTTTTCAATACACCACACAAACTACACTACGTGTACTAACACCTCAAGGTGATACGTCAACATTATGCACAGCCCAAGCTATATTATTCATGGCCGGGAGTGTGCACGCGTGAGGCATGCTCAGAATTTTCCGGGGAGGCCTGCCTGAATTGACAAGACTGGATTTGGTTCGTCTCGTTGATAGCGTCCTCTACCCTTGATGTCGTTCGGCTGCATTATAGCGTGCTAGCTAGGCGCAGGCGACCTGTTATTAAACAAACATTTTCCAAATCCAGCCTTGGACCAAGACTAGAACAATATTAGCTTTGGGTCTTGGTCTGTGCATACTTTGAAGTCAATCCGAGTGCATTTCATGATAATTTTTGCAATTAGAACAAAATATTAATATTTCAAAAATTGTTAAAAAATCAGTTGATGACTTGTCATCATGACGTCACTTATCAAGGTACCTACCCACCAAGGTTTGTAACTGTTACGATAATAGCGCCCTCTTGTGTTACACTTAGTAAGTCCATACACGAGGTCACTAGAGCTAGACTGAGAATGGAACATGACCCTAACTTCTTAGACGAAAGAATCTAAAGAACTGTCTCTGTGTCATTTGTGTCATTCAATTATATCATTAATTGATCTCAGACTTAAAGTTCTCTCCAAGGGAATACTGAACAAAATATGGTGTCAGAAGCGTAATCGAATTCAACCAGAAAAACATTCGGGAAACTGTCTATGTGTCGTCGATGACCTGACCCCGCGACCACACTCTCCATATGGAATTACAGACGCATGGCGGATGTACTGTGTACAACTTATCGTTGAATGAACTGACTGTGCACTATCATTGGGAATTTGTACTTAGCTATATCGGGAATTGGTGGTACTACCACTATAAGTACCAGGTAATGCTCGGTCTCTGCCTTTAGCGAACTGGTAATATTTCATTTCCCTAAGGGAAATGAATTGACGAAAGGGTCTCCACATTTTTGCACCCGATTTTGGCATTTGTAAATGTTGTTCCAAATAAGTGGACGTAGAGACTCTTGGAGCTCTTTGTGCTGCAAGAGCAGATATTGATGAATAGGCTTTCATGAAATCTTTGGTAGATACTTCCTTTATTTTCTTCTATAAATGACAGGAATGTCCGTTGGAAGAGTCGCCTGATGAGGACGATGATAATAATAATAGTGGATATTTATAAAGCGCACGTATCTACCAGGACTGGTGCTCAAGGCGCTACATCATTATTACCCCTGCTCATTGGGCACATAAAACATTCCAAATACCATCTCAGCTCCCTGGGGAGTATACAGCTCGATGCAGCCTGTTAGGCGCAAGGAAGCTAATTCAATCACAATAACCATCTCTGCCCTCACAGGTACCCATTTACTCCTGGGTGGAGAGAAGCAATGAGTGACAAAGTGCCTTGCCCAAGGGCACACGCACCATGACCCCGCCAGGACTCTAACCCACAACCTGCAGCTTTACCCGCAGATCACGAATCAGTGCCCTTAACCACGAGGCCACAGTACTCCACATGATGGTCGGTATCGGCCAAGGGCGGATCCAGAACACAATTTTGGGGGGGCCAAAAAATTTTTGGTCCCCCCAAAAAGTGGGTCAAAAAATTACGGCGTGGGGTTCGGGGCCCGCTTAAGGGCCCCGAAAAATTTTTGGATTCTAGATGCTCTGTGGTGCGATCTGAGGCAATTTCTGACCACTTTAACCAAGGTTTTTTTTTTTGAGGAAAAGATGGTGGTGTACTCATTGCCTGCCTTTATTGCGATGTCAAAAAGTGGGTCAAAAAATTACGGCGTGGGGTTCGGGGCCCGCTTAAGGGCCCCGAAAAAATTTTGGATTCTAGATGCTCTGTGGTGCGATCTGAGGCAATTTCTGACCACTTTAACCAATGTTTTTTTTTGAGGAAAAGATGGTGGTGTACTCATTGCCTGCCGTTATTGCGATGTCACATAAAAAAAAAAAAATGATTTCGTTTTGGGGGGGCCATGGCCCCCTTTGGCCCCCCCTGGATCCGCCCTTGGTATCGGCTCTTACGTATTTAATGTGTTTCTTATCTTTCTTTGGAGGATGACTTACCGGTACATGTAACTGTCCTGAGTACTTGAAAGATTGAGCACTTGAACGCCAGAACACTGATCAAAACCTGAGATAGATGCCATGTCATGCGAGGACAGTTGGGTTAGTGGCAAATCATTCGTTGGCAGAACAGGGGCCGTGGTATTACTGCCAGGACCGCAGGATTTCCCCCATATGTCCTTTTGAGGACTGGCTTGATATATAATAAGCCAGCCGGTTCTGATGGTGTGCATGTACTATCCGTGATCTTTTTCTTTGGTTTCAAACAGCTGGGAGTTGTTTTAGTGTTCGTCGCTTTGCTGGGCCTTTCCCATGTTGTTTCCCATTAGCCGTGTCTCCGCTGTGAGCTCCTGATACGTTTTATCAGGGGACTTTTCACCATGTCTGCTACGTGAGGCCATAGCAAGGAGTACTCAGTTGAATGCTTCTCAAGAAAGCACTAAGAACACGGTCCGCTTTCTTTATGAATGGGTGGATTGCGGCACAATCACTGGCATACCAAGGAATGCAATTAAGTAGCAATGGCGTCACTGGCTCACAGGTCCGACGTTGTGCTGATGACCAATCAGACAGCTGTTCTTCGAGTTAAAAAAAATCACTGTAGCGAGGCAGACGTGTTCCTGTCTGAAAAGGCTTATGTACATATGCCACTGGCAGAG